ACCAAATTATCATCCAAATCTTTTGAAGAATCGATTTTGAAGCTAAAAAAGCTTTCAAGTAGAAAAAGTTTGTTTGGAGTTGATTTAGATATATAAAGTTCCTCTAATTTTTCCCAAAGTTCTTACGCTGATTTTAATTTACCAACTTTTCTTAATACCGCATCAAACAGGTGTAATATTATAGAAGTATATGCCAATTCATCCATATTCTCTTTTTCTTCATTAGTCAAGTTTGTAGGAAAAGAGTCATCAATAGCTTTGAAAACTTTTTGTTGAACAAGAATGCATTTCATTTTTTGTTTCCAAATTGAAAGATCTCCTTTACCATTAAAGACACCCAACTTAAAGTGATGTGTCAACATTTTACCGAAAAATGCATAGAACACAAATTCAGATATGTAAAAGTCATAGGTCACACAGATTACACGAAGTAACAAGATTCCTATGATTTCACAATAATTCGCTATTCTAGAACCCCAGGGTTTCGTAAGAATCGAGTTCTCAGATCAAGGGAAGAACTAGAATAGGAGTCCGGGTATAAGTCTAAAATAATACGAGATAACAACGTTCAACAAATTAATCTAATAACGAATAAATAATTTCACTTATAAAATTAAATAGATAATGGCAAGTAATCCTAGGTTCTATCAACAAACAATGGTTGCCAAGCAATGACAACCACCAATCCTAATGATCACCCCATACGATGATCTGCTAGTGCGATAATGTAAAGTTTCAGCCAATTTACTAGAGCGGACTTGTCTGAGTCCGTAAATTACGAGAGATGCAAATTTACTGCTTTAGGGCCGCAATTTTGGCCTAAAATAATTCAGTAAATATGTGGCAATTTCAACCGTTGATCCACCAAGGGCAAAATTGTCCAACTTTTTCTGTATAACCCGAAAGAGAAAACTTCCAACACGAAAAATGTTAGAAATAATGTGAGGAACAAACTGCCTGAAGATAGCTTCCCCAAAGTCAGAGCCACGCGCCGCTGTCGGAGATGCCACGCGTCGCCGTCAGGAACACGCGCCACACACCTAGCACCGCCTCCACCTGCACGTTTCAACGCTGGTCTCTGTTTCACCAATGGACTTCTGGATTGACGGGAAATCGCGTTTGCAGGTGCGGTTTTTGTGCAAAAATCTGTGCACTTCGATTTTTCTGTTTTTTGCCGGTTTCTGGTCGGTTTTTGGCCGGATTTTCACCACCACCAAGCCCTTATACCAATTGTGAAGCAAACCCACCTATAAATCCAACAAAAGAAACAATTAATAAAGGATTTGCAAAGATTAATTTCAAGGAAGTTAAAACTGAAAAATGAAAAATGAAGAACGATTTTCCCCTTATTGATTCGGCTCAGAAACTCGGCCCACACCACAAAGGTATCTCCAATTTGAAGGTCATTATTAGTCATAAAGACAATTTCACAAAGAATGCAGAGAAGGATTTTGCTTTGCACTAAGTAGGAAGAGAGTTTTTTCTTGTTTTTGGTATGTGAAAAATGAAGGTTGAAGGCTCCAATTTATAGGCTCAGTGGGAGAACGGATTTCCCAGTAATCTTGCAAGATTATGATAGAAAATTTTGCAAGATTATGTTAACAAAAGGATAGACCTCATTCAAGACGAGATAAGATAGATCAAGAAAGATATCGATTATATTTATCTATCTTTTCTTGTGATTTTCAAATTACCTCCAAATTGGATATTGAGTATCTAGCCCAATGGACTGATTATTTCTAAATACCCAACTTAATTGGACTACTTCAATTGTGGTGTGGATTTAATTCTTCAATCCTGAACTTATAGTCTATGAAGTTAAAAAAGGGTCTCAATTTTTCATTATCGCCTAGGGGATTTGAGCATCACTTACCAAACATGCCCAACAACAAATAATAAAGTGGACATGAGTAGTAACTAAATATCTAGTTTTCAATTAAGTTAATTCTAATCGAATAACAAACGATTAAGATTGGAAGATTTTTTATATTTACAACCTAAAGCTAACTAATTAATCTAACTAATAAACTAACTAAGTGGTATGAATAAATATGAATAATCAATTAATTGATATGACCCTGAATTCTCCTACATTCTTCCATCTTAATATCGATTGCACAATTCGAAAAAAATTATTTGGATATCAAATTTTCTCTGTTTAATATTCTCTTCCTAGTAGAATCAAATCTATCTTCAAATATAGCTCGATAATATCACTATCCCAAATGCGCACATGTAAAGATGCATTGAATCACAAGAATATTTATTTGGATCATGCAAAGTATAGAGTATTATCCCTAATGTCTATAGGACCTTAAATGATTGCTGTTTGTGAGAATTTATATTTATTCTCCCGAAAGTCAATAGAAATCATAATTAATTCGGCTAATTAATTGAAAGCATTAAACTCGTAGCAATCATTCAAACAAAACAAATATTTAATTTTAAAATCATAGAAATTAATATCAAAACTTCATAAGAGAGGGTTCGACGTTATCCTATCATCTATACAACTAGCCAAGGATCATAAGTTTACAAAAACACTACTTGAAATAATACAACATCCCTGAAATTAAAAGTAGGAAAGAAAGATGGAAACAATCTTGAATTCCTTCAATAGTTCTTGAATTATTTCCGTGGATGTCTTCTCTTTCTTCAACTCTAAGCAATACTATATGAAAAGATGATATAGATGTGTCTTGTATCACAAGCTTCTTCAAAGCTTTGCAAAGAATATATAGAATTTCTATCAATGGCTCTTTTTGAATCTATGGAATATGTGGAATATATGTACAAGATCCCTTAAGCTTATTTCCTTTAATTGTGACAAAGATATATGTTTATAGCCCAATAACTAGGTTAGAAATCGTGTCCTGGTTGCTTTCCAAGAAGATGTTGAATCAAATAAGAAAACCAAAATTTCTGAGCTCGGAATGCCTTTTGCGATTGCACAGGCCAAACAGTTTACTCTCTGAATTTCAGATTTTGAGTGTTGGATTGGACTATTAAGGGCTTGCCATCAAAAACCTCCAAGTTCTCGCCTCAATCATTTTGGTAGAATCTTTCTCTTGGTTTGGATTGAGTCCCTCCTTAACTGCATCTTTAGTTTTCATCTTCAACCTTCACAATTTGGTCATCATCATCCACACAATTAATCCATAAATGATTCGATGCCATTTTCAAAAGTTTGCTATTAAGTCCCTAACTTGCTGTGTTAGATTTAGTTCCTGAAACTCATGAATCTCCTCTGGTTGCCCTCTTAATACTTCTATTGATTAATTGCAATTTGATTGATCATAAATTGCGCCGTGATCAATTCTAATTTAAGCTCCAAAATGCCTTTTTCACATAATTATTTTCAAATGCATTTACCTACAATTGACATAATTTAACCAAAATTAGGTAGATATTCACTCAATTAACAATAAAGAATCAAGTTTAGAAGCACCAAATAAGTGTATAAAATGTACTTATTAGTTACAATAGACTAGTTGAACTACGATATGGTTGAACTACGGTATGGTCAGCAAATGACCCGATGGCCCTCTTACATAAAAAAGAAACAATCCCACTTTTGTCCACAACATACTTTATGTAAACTATAGTGATTCAAGCTAATTATACTTGTTAACATAAACTAATTCTAATATATATATATATATATATATATATATATATATATAATGAAGTTGGAGGAAAGGAAAATTGAGTTAACATGGGACGTGATCATTTATATACAACTTAACGTTTGGATTGAGTCCCTCCTTAACTGCATCTTTAGTTTTCATCTTCAACCTTCACAATTTGGTCATCATCATCCACACAATTAATCCATAAATGATTCGATGCCATTTTCAAAAGTTTGCTATTAAGTCCCTAACTTGCTGTGTTAGATTTAGTTCCTGAAACTCATGAATCTCCTCTGGTTGCCCTCTTAATACTTCTATTGATTAATTGCAATTTGATTGATCATAAATTGCGCCGTGATCAATTCTAATTTAAGCTCCAAAATGCCTTTTTCACATAATTATTTTCAAATGCATTTACCTACAATTGACATAATTTAACCAAAATTAGGTAGATATTCACTCAATTAACAATAAAGAATCAAGTTTAGAAGCACCAAATAAGTGTATAAAATGTACTTATTAGTTACAATAGACTAGTTGAACTACGATATGGTTGAACTACGGTATGGTCAGCAAATGACCCTATGGCCCTCTTACATAAAAAATAAACAATCCCACTTTTGTCCACAACATACTTTATGTAAACTAGAGTGATTCAAGCTAATTATACTTGTTAACATAAACTAATTCTAATATAAATATATATATATATATATATATATATATATATATATATATAAATATATATAATGAAGTTGGAGGAAAGGAAAATTGAGTTAACATGGGACGTGATCATTTATATACAACTTAACTCAAAAAAACCTTATCCCATAGTATCACGGTCAGCTAATGTGATTGGAGGAAAGGAACTATTTTATGCTAAACACGTGTCTGAAATTTATAAGCAAATTTTTGGAGATTTTAGTTCATGTCATGAACTTATGTAAAAGTAAGTTTTTACTTTCCTTTTTACATTTTTTAGGCTTATCAAAGGACTTGAGCAGTCATGTGAAAAATAGTAAATCCAATCGCATAAATTTAGATTTTAGTTCAGTAAGTTACTCCATAAAAGTACTTTTACTTCTTTAGGCTTAGCCAAAGATGCTCAATGTCAAGTAAAAAATATTAATCCTAGTCGCATAAATTGTTTGAGACATCTCTAATTTTGTGATTCGTCTCTTATGCTGTATAATATTTTCTGAAATTGGGTTTTTCATACTAATCATTATTTATTCTGTTTCGCCTTAGGGATGATATTGTCTTTAAAGATCCACTCAACAATTTTGTCGGTATCGAAAACTACAAGTCAATCTTTTGGGCATTGAGATTTCATGGAAGGATATTTTTTAGGGCCGTGTCGGTTGACATCATAAGTGTGTGGCAGCCTGTGGAAAACGTGATAATGATTCGCTGGAGTGTTCACGGTATCCTACGGGTTCCGTGGGAGAGCCGAGGGCGATTTGATGGTATCTCAGAATACAAGCTTGATAAAAATGGGAAAATCTACGAGCACCTGGTTCACAACATTGCCTTAAATGGACCACAAAAGTTTCAAGTGCTCTCTGTGGAGCACTTAATTCAGTCAATAGGCTGCCCTTCAACTCCAAAGCCAACTTATTTTGAGTTCTCGTCCTCTTCCACAAGGAGCATTGTTCCATCACATGACCTTTCAGGGATTAAGCATTACTTGGCTTCTTTCCTAATCAATTTTCAAGAACCCGAGGCTGAATGATGACGGAGAACATAGAGTTCGTTTGTAATTATGAAGTTTTGTTCAGTATAGCTATATATAACATCACTTTCACACCCTATATCTTGATTGGAATACTGGAACCTGGTCTTCACAAACTCCTAAAGTCGACGTTGCTTGGTAATGCAGGGGCATATGCACCGGCAATCTTGAACTGCTTAGTTTGAAGTTTAAACACTGGGAATTTTGAATTGTATGAAATCTGTATGGTCTCATACTCTGGCTTAAGAACTTGATCATTTACTGTGTATAAGGTAAATTTTCTGTATAGCAAATTAGCTGAGTACACATATTTTCTACTGTTGTAGTAAATTAATATATTCGATCCGAGCATTGGGGTATGTCTGGTTTGTGCCACGGTGGGGAGACTTTTTTTTTTTTTTTTTTTTTTTTTTTTTTTTTTTTTTTAAAAA